CTCACTAATCCAGAAAAAAAAAAAACAAAAAAAAAAAACAAAAAAAAAAAAAAAACACCAAAGCAGCAAATGATATTTTTTTCCTGAGGCTACTGAGCTGCATCGGCCCAGCACAAGGGAGGCAGCATGATGAGATGGCTGGAAGCAGGGGCGAGGGAGCTGGACTGCCCTTTTCAGCAGCAGTGAACCCTTAGGTTTGCCCAGTTATATTATTTTATTCTTTGATCTGAGCCACTGTGAGAGAGATTTAGTAGGCAGAGGGAAAGGAAAGACTGATAAACCAACAGATAGTTGAACAGCAGACACAAACAAGGATTTGTTTGTATTTGCATCTCCAAATTGGACTTGCATGTGCATTCTCTCAAGTCTGTTGGGTTTGTGCTCATCTGTCCTTCAAGGGAGAGATCTATAAGGGTCTGCATTTCTTAGTTGGTCAAATATTTTTATAAACTTTGTAGGAACTTAATATCTGCCAAAACATATCTGTCCCTCCACAAAACCTGATTGAAATAGATCCTCTAAGTTATTACAGAACCCTCATAGACAAGAAGCTCTTGTCTGCCCATAGACAGACAGACAGTGCAATAGCATAGGATATACTTTCTTAGAAAAAGAAGTTAAAAAAAAGTAAAAGTGCCACATTGTTAGTGCTTCTTTTTTATGGGAAGTTTTTAAAAAAATCAAAATGTCAAAATGGGAAAAGAAAAAATATTTCTATTTTATAAATCATTATTTAAAAAACATTGTCCAACCTAATAAAACTACAATCCAATGTATATTTTACACCTTTATGGATCTCAGAGCCTCACAGAGAGCACTAACACATAATTTACCCATACGTTAAGTGTAAGGAAAAGAAATATTTCATAAAGTGCATACCTTTTCAGGCAAGCAGCTTAGTAAAGACAACCTGAGATTAGAGATACTATTCCACCAAGGACCTGTCACCATATGGGTTGTAATTCTAATTTACAGCTGCAATAGCACACCCTGCATGAGCCTCACTTGATTCAATAACATTCTATTATTTCTAAGAGCTGCACAGTGAACCTTTATCAATCTCCCAATACTAAATATATCAAGATGTGACAATCACTCCTTTCCTTATGGATTAAATAACAATTTGAGATGTCATATTTGGATGTAGTGAGCAATATGCCTGCTGCCAACCATTGACAGCAAACCACAGTAGTTAATTTGACTCTATGGAACATTTGAAAGCAGGCAAGCTTGAAGCATGAGCGTAAAACATGCTTGAGGTTTCACTTACACATTTCTGCAAATTGATCATATATACTTATTAATATTTCAAGTTATTTTTATTTAAAAGTATCTTCACACACGGTGAAACAGAACAGAAAGGGATGTTTAGAGATCCTCTCGTTAATGAATTACCCTCAATTGAAATTCCTCTCACAAATATCCTTACACAGAGGAAATGTTTTTCCCCTCATAAACTTTACTCCCATTAGAGAACATTTTATATGTTGACTGCAAAATAGAAGGAGATTCTCAAAGCCTCACAAGCCTTTTCCTGATTAAGGTAAACAGTGTAATTACCTATCTAAATTGTTAGTGTGCTTCAGTAGACTGAGTGACAGTTCTCACTCTTAACAGACTATTTCACCTGTCCACCTGGCCTAGATCATGTGCTATGCTTCAAATTCTTTATAAGCAGAAGCCCAGTCATTTAAATGCAAATTATCTCTGCCCATAAATTAGGAAAGAAGCTCTGAGTTTCTTTCCAAAATTCTACATTTATATGCCTAGAAGTTGGGGTTCTTTTAGAGATCCTTCCTTCTTGGGTGTTTTTCTGAGGACCTCCAAGCACAATCAGGAAAGCTGGTATCAGCTCCAGACTTTGGGTTTCATCAAAGTAGGACACAGTTAGTGGGGAATTGCATGTATTGCCTGAGGCTAGATGGGAAATGGATGAGAGCTATAAGGCCCCCTGCTTGGCAGAAATAACTCAAGGATGTGAAGTGTAGGCTGCTCTCTACCAGAGAATGTCAGGGGAAAAAAAAAAAAAAGTAATTTACAAAAAATACAATCCTATAGGCATAGGTTGTTTTGGCAGAAGGGGTGGATATACAGAAGCCAGTGGAAAGATGACCTTCACTCATGCTGACAAAACCTTCCCTGGCTCCTCTCGTGTCTAATTGATTTGCCTTCCTCCAGATGCCCCACTGTTTAGAGTGGCCAAGCCTCACATTTCTCCACAATCACAACAAAAAAGGCAGCACTGGCTTAAGCTGTACCAGTTCTCCACTGGAGGCTAGTGTGTTCAGAACAAAGTCAGCAAGAGGGAATGGATTTGCATGTCTGAGCCAATTCTCTACAAAACCTGGTGCAGGGTTGGTAACTTCGAGGAGTAAGGCTGAACAGAGAGCTGGGGGCAGTAATTTCTTACACTGCAAAAGCAAAAACTAGATTTGCCAGAGCATGTCTGACCATGCCCTAACTCCCCTTTTTGAAGTGCACAGCTAACCTAAGAAAAGCCAGCGCTGCCCATTAAAAAAAAGTCTTTGAAGATACCTTTAAAAACTAAGCCAGGTTGATTATACGATTACGTATTTGTGTGAGAAAATAGCTGATTTCATCTCTAAAATTACAGGGGTATCTCAACTGTAAATAGTTCTGCATATCAGAAACAAATGCTCATTTGGAAAAAAAAAAAATAGCCTGCAAACTGCTAAGAGAACTGGTAATGGGAATTAGATCCTTTGGATTATAGGTCACTGACTGAAATTCATCATAAGGCAGTAATTGGAGCCCTGAGGAACTTCAGTTGATCTGATGGCTCTCTATAACCCAGTATGAAATAAGCTAGTCACTCCAATTCTGATACTAAGAGGTAGATATAACCAGTACCAGATTTTTTCCTTCAGCCCCAAATAAACAAAACAGTGCCAGCTGCTATTGTGGTGAGAAGCAAAATACTATATTTCTCATCTGAACATTTTCTTTTGTTCTTTGTGGAAGCCTGTTCATGGAATCAGATGAAAAGATGTCATTGGTACTGCACAGAAAGTTCTTGTTCTGTGGATGAATAATTCTATTTCCAATGTTGTTAATCCACTGCCTTTCAGAAACATTAAATTAAGTTTCAATTAAATATGTCTGAAGTCATTTGACTGTTTATCTTTTTGTTTTCTACTCTGTTAAACCACTCTACCTATGAGAAATGCATAGAAGGAAAAAATCACAGTGACAAATTCTATTTTGAATTACTGGAGAACCATTGTGCAGTAGTGTAAACAATGTTTTGGTACATCTATTGTTGTTTTGTTTTTTTTTATAGAAGTTTTTTTTGATATTTTTTTCAGCTTCCTGACACTATAAATAGGCAACCTTTTACAAAATCTCTCAAAAGTAGTAGTGTTCTCTACGTAAATGTTAATCAGCTTATGCAATGTATCATCCTCATGTCCCTTTAATGAGATTAAGCTCTCCTTGCTGAGTGCAAGATTTCCTGAAGTGCTCTATTCTTCTTGCTGTTTTTTTATCAGAGGAAGACCCCACCCTTCCCATGTCAGGTATTTTCAAACATGTAAAAAAGATAACCCCTGCCCTGACAGAAAAATTCCCTTTACCTGCTCTCTAACATTGCAGGGCAGGGTTCACAGTACATCTTGAAGCAGTGCAGTGACAACTGTTGCCATAATGGGGAAGATCCCTTCCTGGCCTTCCACTCTTCTTTCGGGACCATGACTGACATTACATGTTTGTAAACTAAGACACAAATGTTAAGTAATATGGGTGTCCTTGCCCTTTTTGACACATCTCAGGCTATGGTTGACTGCACAATGTGTTTCTTTGGGCCACTGAGACATATTTAGGAGCCCCTATCAACTTCTCAGCTGCACCACCATCACTGTTCCTGGAGGTACAAGGTGACAGTCCTGGAATTTATATTTAGGTTAAAAAGAGCCTTCTTTGTTTCTCCAGTATTTTTTTACCAGGTGGTGTAACATAGTTCCACCTATGTTCCACATCCACAAGTGAATGTGTGGCACATGGTTGCAGGGAGAAGTAAGGGATGCTTCAGCTGTTGCAGTAGCTGAAAAAAGGTCAAGTCCCCTGATATTACCCCTTAATATTGTCTGTCTGCAAAACAGAATACAGTATCTAGTCCTCAGACTTCAGCTCACTGAGTCTTTGGGTAAAACTGGCACTTAGATGTGACAATTTTTTGAGTATAAAAGAAAGAATAAATGTATGATGAAACAAATCAATAGTAACTGCACACTGCATGCATGTATGTTAAGTCTGCATACACACATACATATACATACAGAGAGCAGTATAATTCTTACACATTAGCTGTACTTTACTGATCACGTTGAAGGACTGATGCAAGCAAGACTTCACACTCTACAGTTTCCTAGTGCCCTTGGGTGTCTTATAGCAGGAATAGGGAAAAGGAACATGGAGAAAATGTTGCTTCTTTGTCTCCCCTGAAGCCAGCTTTAGGCACAAGCATAATAGTCTGTTCCCAAAGGCTGCAGCCTTGGCTTCACTACCTGCTTTGCCTTTGGAAAGCTGAGCTCTCTGCTGTTGCTGAGAAAACTGGGATGTCCAGGAAGCAGGTAGTGTGGTGACCTCTGCCCACAGCAACAGATCTATCTCCCTCCCCATCTTTAGGCTTGCTGCTCCCACTGCTGCCTTTTGGTAGGATTTCCTCCTCATGCCCCAGCCTGCCTGCCTGCCCTCCTCTCCTCAGCTGGGTGTAGCAGAGCTGAATGTTCTTTGCCTCTAAACCATTCCTTTCTAAGTTAATTCTTTCTAACTACTTTAGTCCAGGAAAGGCAGTGATGAAAGCTGCTTACACCCTTTGTCTAAGTAACGCTTAGCATTCTGAGACCATTTCTTGGAAGCTGATGACATGCAAGCATATCTCTGCATATGGAAAAAATAATATTTGCAAAAAATCTCACCCTCATGTCTTCTGTAATGCACAGAAATTTGACACGCATAAGCACTTTCCTCCTTTTTCACAGGTAATGCAGTACTTTGTATTGGAGCAAGGAAGGCACTGGGGCTTGAACTGAAGCTCTAAAGCACTTTGCTGTGTCATCTATCTTCATTGTCCCTTCTGCAAGCCACAGAAACAGACACGCCCGGTCTGGGAACCAAAACCACCTAGCAACAGTAGCCTGCACGAGGGCTAGAAATGCTCTGCCATTTCATTTATCTTCTCTGTCCCTCCTGGCAACAGGAGAGACAGCAGCTGAAGGCACACCCCGTCCGGAAATCAGAGACACCCAGCACTGGACTCTGAGTAACAGCCTGAAAAAAAGCCATCCCATCCATCTCCCGCTTCCTGTCTGCAGCACTGCACCTGGCACAGGAATCAGTTAGGTAAACAAATGCCATCACAGCTCTGAAAAATGATGTCAGCTCCCCATGCTGATGAGAAATGCAGTCAGCCTCTTCATACCACAGCGCAGTTCGTGCTTCCCACTACCACGTGAGCCAAGCCCGTTAGCTACAACCTCGTCTCACCAAGCACATGCCTGTACAAATACACCCCATTCGCAGAGTGTCAAAAATCAAGACTGGATGCAATCCTGACATTGGTACCTGCAGACAAGGTAACAGACATGTCATCATGAAGTTTTGGTGGGAGAAGAGAAATGTATTCTCCCCAGACTTCCTATTAAAAGCATCTTGGTCTACTCAGGCATATCAGCAGGTACAAGGTCTAACCACCTGTCACTTCATTTATTATTGGAATGTGCAAACTGGGAGGATGCAGCTTCTAGAAATTCTCACAGAGGAAATACAAGGTAAAGAGATCTTTCTCGTGCAATAAAAGCAAAGTCTTGGGCTCACCTAGAGAGTGTACTAAAGTATAGATTAAAGGTGTAACTTCACTTTTCCAGACAGTGAATAGAAGTCAATGGATTTCATTCTTAGGTTCCTCACTTCACCAAGACTAATATTTGGAATAGGAGATGAACTCTGTTATGAATACAGGGATAGGTTTCAATCATGTTATTTAGAATAACTACTGTCTTAGCCTACAGTTCCACTCATTTCACAGACAGTACTTCTGGGTTTGTTTTATTTCAGAAATTATTTATTTTTATTTAGTTTGCTGTTTAATAAACTTCTGTGTTGGTAGCTTCAGAAAATATATTTTGGCTTTATTTTTACTGTTCATTTTAATTTGCCTTTCCTATATTTGTATATTTCTCTAACCTAGTGTTAGACTATGAAAATAAATCACTGTATATTTTTACTGTGTGCTTATTAGAGCCCTTTTGCCTTGAGCTGATCGTGTTATGTAATGCATAAATGAAGGAAGAGGACATAAAATCAGACAGACAGCACTGCTATTTTCCAATATTTAAGATAGCAAACCCTCTTCAGTTCCAATGGTCTGCAAGCACTAAAACCAAGAATTAATTTGGTGACAGTGAAAACACAATTCATTTTATCATGTACTGAAAAGATCTACCAGTCTACATTGTGTAACTTGCCGATAGGGATCAGAGGTTGTCCATCACACCATCTGCCTTTCATTCAGCAGGCTTCCAATTTCCTACAGACAGTCGAACAGCTGGGAACAAGCCAGCCTGGAGGCGCAGAGCTGGGTGCTGTCAGCATATTGCTGGCATTGTAGCTCAGGGCATTGCACATTCTTTCCCAGAAGTCTTGTTGAAGTGCTCTTGAATAGGAGTGGTGAAAGGTCATGAGTAAAAGGAGTAGTTGTAGGTCTGCCAGGAATGATCAAAGCCATCTTAAAGTATAACTCTTCATCCCTGTGAGGTCTCGCAGCCAGGTCTGCAAAACCTCCTCCCTAATCAATGGCATCGAAAGCAGCAAACATGTTGAGTATTATTAGCATGATGATTCTGACTGAATTAATGACAATGGTGGAAAAGCCCTTGTGTGGCTCCCATTACATTAAGATGCTCATTAGAGCATCTAATGGAATAACAAAAAGATTTGTCAAAAATTGCCTTTTCAAGTTTCTCTTATCAATACTGGCAAACAAAACAGTTTCTCACAAAGGCATTTTTAATTTAATTCCAAAACCATTTTGGAAACATAATAGTTCATTAGAGTTTACAAGACTTGAAAGCTTTTGATAAATCTTTCCAAGAATCTTAATTAGAAATGCTTAGAAAACTGCAAAATGTGAAATAGGTCCATTTCAAATGTTTCCAGTTTGAGAACAGAAATGTTTTCAAATTTCTGATAAAAGCAGGTTTCCAGCTTCTGATAAATTCAAATATTGATGTAAAGTTTGGTCTCCAAGAAGGGCCCTGTTCTATGACTGGGCATTTTGCTGACATTTTATCCTTGGGTCAGTGCTTCCATTGTTGCTGCAGCTTAGACAACTGGAAATTGGAAATCCATTCGTCATGTTAAGTTGCTTACTAGAATAAAAATACAAGGAAGCTACTATAGCCAGTCTTTCCATCTTCCCACTGAAAGCGAGCTCATTGATTTCTCCATGGAAGTGAATGCCAAAAAAGAGCATTATCCAGTGGTTGGGATACAAAATTAGAAGTGAAACTACATGTCTTCTCATGCATGCCATTAGCTAAGTATTTGGCAAGTATAACGTGTCCATTCCTCATTGAGCCTACCTTCAAAAACTTCACAATATCAATATACAGAGCAGTGCTTGGAATACCTGAACACATATGTGAAGATGTTGCAAAGTGTTCCTTTGCCTAATGAAATAATGCTTATATGGTTGAGATGTCATTCATTCTACACTTAGTTTCTTACTCAATCTGCAACTTTAAATTTGACTGAGATGAAGAACATTTGTAGTTATTAAGTTATGGAAATTTCCTGAAAATTGTCAAATAAACAGAGAGATCCAAACTGGCACTTGCCGTTCTCTCCTCACTGCCCCTTCAGGGAAGTGCTGCAGTGTAACCTCAAGCATTACTTGTTCTGTTTGTCCTTCCTACCACACAACTGTTGTGTACATCAGAGCGAATCTATCTACATGTATGGAGCTGCAACTCAGTCACTGAATATGCTGTTTCTTCTCACCTTGTAAAGGCATGTAGCAGGATGCCGTGGATACTATAGGATGAAGGGAAGAACTCAGAGGAGTCATGTAAGGAAGCTGGGGGTTCTGTCCCTGTTTCTGAAAGCAGATGTAGGATGCATCTGCATAATAGACCAGGCTTCACTGGTTCCTCTGCACATGGAATAGTTTATTAGTAGTAATCAGTCATGATCTATCAATAGCTTTAAATCCAAAATCAATTTCTGTATGTTCCCTTGCTCTTATATTGTACAACTTTGTGAAAGCCGTCATGCAGAAGTCATGTCGTCTTCAAAAATGCGTTTGCATTTAATCTTTCCTAGTTCATGTTTGTAGTAGAGCATTCACTTCAGTTATCACATTTCAACCAAGCAAGCAGTAACCTCCATTTCAAGGGTGGCAATTCATTAAATTACATAGTTCTATTACTTAATATAGTCAGGCTTACCCTGAGAAAAAAAGCAGTGTTTTAGGGACAACCTGCCAAGAAAGTGACTCCAATTTAAATTAAGGTAATGCAACATTTGTGTAAATACTAGTTTAATCTCCTGCTATTTTGTTTTATTTTAAACCACTTGGGACTGGTGTACACCTGACTGAAATAAAGTGTCTCTGTAGTAGCTTGCACCCAATTAAATTGGTTTTAAACTGACTTGAGCTAAGCAGTGAAGCATTTTGGTGCATACAAATACATAGGATTTTCTAGCAAGTTAGCTAGAAGGACAAAATACCTTACCTAAAGTTGTCCCTTTTGAAAATGAAAAGCAAATTAACTTCAAAGGAGTTACTTGCTAATCTTTAAACATGAAATGTGTTACATAAGAGATACAATGCTAAAGAAACAAATTATGTCTCAGTTTGGGTGCTAATTCTGAAGGTGAGGGGAGAGGGGGAATGACGTTATTTTAGTAGTGATACGTGAGATTTTCTTAATTGTTTTTATTTCCATCCTATTTTTTTTTTTAATTCCCTATTGCAGTTTTTTTCAGCCTTTTATATTTCATAATAATAGCTTAAACATTTTACATGCAATTTTTTGCTGTTGGAAATCATTTAAAAATGCTCTGAAAATACACTAAAAGCACAGCAGACAAAAACATCAAGATGGAAGCACATTTCTTTATATTTCAGCATGAATCCAAACAACAAATTTTAACACTAGAGACATTTCAACTACATCTTCATCTGATGACAGTGAAATAATATCTCAATTACATTCTCTGCAAAAGAAATCTTCTACATTGTGTCATAATGCAATAGTAATTGAGTTTAGCAATTGTGATATTGCTATTTCATTTTTTTAATAAATTTATTTTTGTAAGCTAGTGAATACTCAGTACCATGCCAGTCATAAATGAACCAACCTTCCTTCCTTCCTTCCTTCCTTCCTTCCTTCCTTCCTTCCTTCCTTCCTTCCTTCCTTCCTTCCTTCCTTCCTTCCTTCCTTCCTTCCTTCCTTCCTCCTCCTCCCTTCCTCCCTTCCTCCCTTCCTCCCTTCCTCCCTTCCTCTCTTCCTCTCTCTGTCTCTCTCTTTCTCTCTTTCTTTCTTTCTTTCTCTCTCTTTCTCTCTCTCTCTTTCTTTCTTTCTTTCTTTCTTTCTTTTTCTTTCTTCTTTCTTTCTTTCTTTCTCTTTCTTTCTTTCTTTTCTTTCTTTCTTTCTTTTCTTTCTTTCTTTCTTCTTTCTTTCTTCTTTTTCTTCTTCTCTTTCTTTCTTTCTTTCTTCTTTCTTCCTTCCTTCCTTCCTTCTTCCTTCCTTCCTTCCTTCCTTCCTTCCTTCCTTCCTTCCTTCCTTCCTTCCTTCCTTCCTTCCTTCCTTCCTTCCTTCCTTCCTTCCCTTCTTTCTCTCTTTCTTTCTATTTTTCTTTCTCTCTTTCTTTCTCTCTTACTCTCTGTCTTTCTCTCTTTCTCTCTTTTTCTTTCTCTCTCTCTCTCTTTTCTGTTCTTCTCGTATCACTTGTTGCAATGTATCCTTTCATAGCTATGTAGAAATTTCTGTGGTTCTATGTCAGTCAGTCAACTTTTCCCTTGGAATTTACATTGTATGTTTTGTATTTTTTTTTCTCATCACCTCACAGCATGAATGAAACAGCTATTTTCACAATAGCCTTGTGAGTTAAAGAATCTAATTGTTAGGTTGCGTTAGGAATGAAGATCTAGAGAAATTAAACAGTTGAGGTCATCTGCAGACCATGACAGACCTGGCCAAAATGAAGGTGAATGGAACCTAAATCTTTCTCATTGCAGGCTAGTCCCTTAACTCAGAAACACATGCCCCTGTGCAAAATCTTTCTTCAAATCCCACATCTCAGCTTCCAGCAAAAGAGTAGTCCAGAAATATCATCCATGTCCTCATCAGCAGAGATACAAAAATATTTTTTTCTTGCTAAAGCTTTATCTGTTCATCCCTTACCCTCTTAATAGCCAAGAGTTGAACACCTGCAGATTAACTTGCAGTAAAAGTTCTCCATTTCTGATAATATTTAGCCTCTTATTATTTGCCTTGATGTCTCTGTCTATTGGCATTTCATCTTGTAATTGTCTTCTACTACCTCTCTCCCATGTCTTTCACCAAATAATTAATATTTCATTCCCCTAATACTTGTTTTTAGGTTGGTTTTCTAAGGTTGCTAACCATATGCAATATCATCATAATCCTCATTTTTCTCCACCCTTTCTCCCTCTAGTAAGTTTAGAAATCATAGAGGTCAATCATTTTTGACAGTGTGTGTGTGCACAGCTTAGAGCTCACCACCACATCTCTTCTGCATGCCAGACTGGTGACTTAGTACTCACAGAAGTGTTATGTATCGGGAACAGTGTAGGACAAATGAAAAGTATTGCTGGGGCTTTGTGGGATGTAGTGCTTTCTCAGTGGGAGTGTAAAGTAAGGGAGAAGTTCCTCTTAGGTTATTTGATTATTTAGAAGTATTTTGTAGAAAAAATACTCATATAGTTGTAGTGGGTTTACGTGGCAAGGTTTTGGTAGCAGGGGGCCATAGGGGTGGTTTCTGTGAGAAAGATCTAGAAGCTGCCCCATGTTTGGGAAGGGCCCCATTGTTTTCCAGAGCTGAGCCAATAAGCGATGTTGTTTTGCGCCTCTGTGAGAGCATATTTAAGACAGGGAAAAAAATGCTGCGCCACACAGCAGCTGGGAGAGTCAAGGGAGTGAGAAACAGCCTTGCAGGCACCAAGGTCAGTGTAGAAGGAGGGGGAGAGGTGCTCCAGGCGCCAGAGCAGAAGTCCCCTGCGGCCTGTGGTGAGGACCATGGTGAAGCAGGATGTCCCCCTGCAGCCCATGGAGTACCACGGTGGAGCAGGGTTCCACGCTGCAGCCCATGGAGGAGGCCACGGTGGAGCAGGTGGCCCTGCATCAACGGAGGCTGCTGCCTGTGGAAGACCCCGGCCCGAGCAGATTCCGGGCCAGACCTGTAGCCCGTGGAGAGGAGACCACGCAGGAGCAGGTGACCTGGCAGGAGCTGCTGCCCGTGGGGGAGCCAGGTTGGAGCAGTTTGCTCCTGAGGGATGGACCCCGTGGTACGGACCCATATCTGGAGCAGTTCTGGAAGAGCTGCTGCCTGTGGGAAGCCCACGCCGGATCAGATCATCAAGGTCTGTATCCCGTGGGAGGGACCCCACAGCACAGGGGACAAGAGTGACCGAGAAGGAGCGGCAGAGAAGAAGCGCTGTAGACTGACCATAACTCCCCTTCCCCCATTCCCCTGCGCCGCTCGGGGGGAGGAGGTGGAAGAGGGTGGATGGGGGGGGGAAGGTGCTTTTGGTTTCTTTCCTTTGTTTCTCACTTCTCTAGCTTGTTAGTAATGAGCAATAAATCTTACTATCTATCTTATGCTGAGTCTGTTTTGCCCGTTACAATAATTATTGTGTGATTTTCTCGTCCTTATCTCAATCCTTGAGCCCTTTTCACATATTTTCTCCCCATTCCTCTTTGAGGAGGGGGAGTGAGAGAGCGGCTGTGGTGGAGCTCGGCTGCCCACTCGAGCGGAACCACGACAATAGTTACATAATGAAAATACATATACATGTATATAATAAACACATATCACAATTGAAATATATTTTCCATGTATTGATGTTGATTTGCCAGTATGAACAGGTGATATAAAGCAAACTGATAAATCAACAGACAATAAGATAAAGCAAATTTTTGCTATTAGGATGACCCTGTTTTTTACAGTGGTATTTACCAGAACACAAGTCAGCCTAGCCTCTTTGGATCCTTTGATGATACGGACCAGTAATGCATTATGAGATTTTTTTTTGGCATTCTTGACTAAATAAAAAGAAGACAGCACGGGAGTTTACAAAGGAATTTAAGTGCTGAAAATTTGGTGCTAAAATTCTGAAGTGCAGTGGCTCTGCCCCGTCACATTTTGCTTCTATTTGCACAGGTACAGTGACAACTAAGAGAGAGATTGGATTGAGCAAATAGAGAAGATAACTTTTCAAACTCTATAGCAAGATTTGACAGAACCTATCTGCAAGAGTTTTGTTACACCATCTGACCTAGTAATATTTGCCCTCCTGTTGCTAACCCAGTTACTTGCAGTTGTGAATATGTCTATGGGACACAGTTTAGTGCTATGAACAGTTATTTATCTAGATCCACTCAAATGGTGGCAATGTGGTTTAATGAGAGCAATGCACAGGGAACTCAAAGTAACAATGTAAAAACAAAGTACAAAGTAAAAATAAAAATATATAGATATACCCCAACCAGTAGAGAGGAAATTATAAAGGCAGCTTGAATATCCTTTCTACCATGTTACAGATTTGTTATTATTTCTAGAATGTGAAATTTACAGAGAAAAAG